TCAACAATACCCCAACTTACTCATTATCACTTTTGTTGCTTTGCCCACGAACAGTTGTGTACGACTTTCCAGCTCGCGTTTTTAGGCCCAGTGCAGCCACTCCTAATACGTGGCGGTTTAAGCAGACGCTTTCAAACCCTGGATGGAGGGTTATGCATAAGGTTCGGTCTCCAATGGCTTCTTCCATGACCTCTTCGCAGCGATCGATCTCTTTGCAGCAAATGCACTCCTGCGCTTTTGTAACAAGGCTGACAGAGCAGTTCGAGCACGAACACCTGCAAAATAATGTGAAAAATTCGTCAAACACAAGAAAAATACGTCTGTATAAAATTATTAATTGTCTGACCTCTTCAATAAAACTATCGCATAAAATCAGGACTAGAGTTAATCACATAGCAACGAAATTGTAAACTTAAACAAAACACACAGTCGCGTTCATCACGCGCACGATTTAACGACGGGTATATTGAAATTGGAAAATATAAATCTACATTCCATGATAATACCATACCATTCATTCGCTGGCACCTCTCCCGAATATCTTCGCTGAAACTGTTGTTCCTCTTCTTCTTCGCGATGAACTCGGCTTTCGTTGTACTCCGCGGCTTCTTCCTCGGTAGCAAGGGGTTCGCAACTGTCGTCGTACGGCGCAAATTCAGACAATTCCCCCATCACTTCGTCAACTGTAAAACTTTCTCGATCATTTTCAGATGTGCAGGAAGAGGAATCCGACGGAGATGACATCTTAAACGTCTTGTTCAAAGGCTCTAAACTCACAAACTTTTCCCAAATGCGAATCTTTTGGTTGATGTTTCTACGTCACAGTGCATAAATCACGTGGTCAAACGCACGACCGCTTTGAGGAGATCTCGCGGGCTATTGCTTTGCGAACTTTGTAATGGCGGACGGTATTTACGCACTTTTCAGTGGGAAATTTCCAGCCCCCGTACGCAAGTATCGTTCCAATTTTTCGCTATTTGTATAATTTTGAACATATACAAAAGATTTATGTTAAAAAAACTCGGAAACAAAAACAAAAATTTTCGTCGTAGTAGCACTTTAATGTTTTTTACTAAGTATTTTACAAAACAAATAATAATTCAATATTGCTCAGGTTTAAAACTTCAGCTGTTCAATAACTTCATACATTTTGTATCCATGTAATGTCAGTTTCAATGTTATGCCTACCGCCTACCAGTATGTTTCTTTTAATAATTCTACTCAAGTGTAGCTCATATTATAGTTACCATTAAAGATCGAAGCATATACTTGTGTACTGTCCTCGTTTCGCAGGGCTTTTGCCCCGTTTCATAGCTTTACCGTGCTTGTTTTGACTCGTGGCTTTAAGCGTGCCAGTCCGTCTCGAATAAAGGGCCCGGGGGACTTAGGGTTTAAAGAGCGAGTTATGTTACGTGGGTACCGTGCTTGTTTCGACTCGTGGCTTTAAGAACGAGTTATGCCATTCGCGTAGCGTGCTCGTTTCGGCTCATTGCTTTAAGAACGAGTTATATTTTTTGTGTAGCGTGCTTGTTTTGATTCATCGCTTTAAGAACGGGTTCTGTTGCCTGTTAGGCTTGCCAGTCTCGACTTAGGGCTTAAAGAACGAGTTATGTTACACGTTCAGTGTGCTTGTTTTGACTCATGGCACGACTAGACTTCCTGAGATTCCATCGGAATCGATGTGTTTCCAATGGATCCGATGAACTCCATCGGACGACTTTCCAACCCTCGTCTAAGTATTGTTTACACTTCCGGTTTCATCTCATGACTAAACTTCCGGTAACTCAAGTGGACGCTACTGAACTTAAGAACGAGTTATATTTTTTGTGTAGCGTGCTTGTTTTGACTCATCGCTTTAAGAACGGGTTCTGTTGCCTGTTAGGCTTGCCAGTCTCGACTTAGGGCTTAAAGAACGAGTTATGTTACACGTTCAGTGTGCTTGTTTTGACTCATGGCACGACTAGACTTCCTGAGATTCCATCGGAATCGATGTGTTTCCAATGGATCCGATGAACTCCATCGGACGACTTTCCAACCCTCGTCTAAGTATTGTTTACACTTCCGGCTTCATCTCATGACTAAACTTCCGGTAACTCAAGTGGACGCTACTGAACTTCCGGTTTCATTTTTCGACTAGACTCCGTCGGACTCGTGGTTTTGTCCACTGGAATCTGGTCGAGAGTATTGGACATGTGTGGCGCGCAAATCATACAACTGGCTTGACCCATGGCAGAGCGGCAAATTGAGTACCGAAAGTGTTTAGTCCTTTCTGCGCGCTTTCCAGTCGTCAACTGACGTTCCCGTCCTGTTGCTAAATCTGTCTAATTTTATTATAAACAAGACGACCGCACTCACACTAGGAGGAAGAGTCATGGATGAGAGGACGTCAGCACACAAAAGCACCACTAGCGGCCGCCCTCAGTCCATTTATTAGTTTACTGTACCGACCCAAACCATTATGTGAATGATGTGATATGTGAAGGTTGGCCAAACCACCAGGGTCTACGACCCCTACTCTTTTCGAACTGTAGTGTGGGTTCTTTTACGTCCCACAACAACCAGCTAAGTGTAAGTGCTGCGAGACGGGACACACGGTTTTTCGTCCCTATCCGAGAAGACTAGAAAGTCTAACCGTTTGCTGACGTCATTACAAAGGCAACACTTTCTTCTGAGTTATTTAAAGCCCCTGAGTGTTGGTCGGGCCCGGGTTCGAACCCGTGACCTACTGCTCTCTCAGCAGACCGACACTCTCCCAACTGAGCCAACCACGCATCTCACAACCGCAACTCCACTCAATTTCAACCACAGTCCAACCACAGTCCTGTCACAGTCCGCGTTCAGGATTAGCTTTGATAATATTGTGGTGCCATCTTCTCTTCGAAATTGCTTTATCTTCGAATGTGAAATTGTAAATCAAAAATTTCAGAACTGTACTACTTGCAGGGGCGGATCTAGGGGGAGGGTGCGGGGGGTGCGCACACCCCCCGAGATGACCTGCGGTTTTCTAATACAACTGGTATTCTGCAAAAAAAAAACTATATGGCTTATTGGTGTTGAAGTAGAGCAAGAGACGAGTGCGCCCCCTCCTAAAAGAATCCTAGATCCGCCCCTGACTTGTTTCGGTGAACTGCATTATTGGCGCGGAAGACAATGGAAAACAGGTTGCGATAATGCACCACCAGTCTTGTCTGGTGATTTGTAGGACCTACTCCTGTAATCATGTTTAATAGAAGAGATCAGAGCGTTCTTTAAACGTGTCCCTTTTACCTTCTTTCATTTAGTTCTCTCCAGCAAAAAGGTAACCACAGTTCGTTGTTGATAATGACGTACTATCACCAACGCTAGCTACCTTTTGGCACGAAATTTTTGCGAAAGTGTATTTTTGTGGATTGGTGATTTTTTGTGTTTTCCGGGAACTA